GAATGCTGAAAGTAGATGTAGGATATAAATGACAGATATAAAAGTCAGAGTGAGGAGGTGGTTCGGCCAAAATCCAGGAAACCAAGAGACCAGTGTTTTTGTTAAGTTCCGTATATTACGTAAGTAGTTTTGGTGCCAAACTTAACCAAATTGTGATGTTTCACAAAGTAAAACCGGACGTTGCATATTCATTCTTGCCAACTTAACCACGGGCCCTACACGTCCAAAAAATGGCGTTCAAGGGGTATCCAGGGCGTTAAAAAAGCGACGCCAAGGGGTCTTGACCAAGCTTTGACGAGTTGTGGTTGAGAATGTGTTGCTGTGGACATGTGTTGCTCAAGCACCTTGAAACTATTTGGGTCACGCGAATCAATATCATCCAGATTTAGGGGTTATATCTTGGATCACATTTAGCCAAGGAGATGGCAAGCCAAGGGAAAGGAAATCCATCAGGTCTATGTCAGGGGACAAAGCCTGCACATACAAGCAACTGGCTCAGAAACAAGCATTAATAGATTTTACACCTTATGAAGTTGATATACGTGTACATCCAGCAGACACCGAACAACAAGATCATCCCAATGAAGTGGCGTTTGTGTGGATGAATATTTACTCTCCATTTAAATCTAGTTTGGTCTCCACCAACTCCTGGAAAACACATCTGGCTCTTTAGCTGTAAAATGCTAAAGTATGTTCAAACCGAAGGTAACAGACCATTCCCAGGACACAGGAGCACACACACACTCAGCGTTTATACCAACGATTTCAGACCTCACATGATCTCACATGATCAGCCGTGACTTCAGACAGAAACAAACATGGAGGCAGACTGTCGGCAGAGTCGCCGGCAGCTGGTTGACCTTGCGTGTGCTGCGTTTTTGCACAGAAAAACAAAACCAGAGAATCAAACTGTGGATGAACTCGAGGCTCTGATCAGAAGAACATGTTTGCAAGTTACTATTTGAAATCAGGGAGCTTCCGATCCAGTCGGCGACCATAAGACGTTGTCTGTAAACCCCTCACGCTATAGGAACCCGTGGGCCGATAATCTGTTCCGACCAGCCCCGGCTCAGGGAAGAGCGAGAGTGAAATTCATGGTCGGTGTGCGTGGTTACATTTATTAAAATGAAAGCACTCCCGAAGCACCGGCAGTGTGGACTGCCCTCAAGGCTGTACTAAAAGGTGAATTTACCTTTAATCCCACTCCAATTTAAACGTAATCCTGAGTGCAATCTCAAGCATAGACAAAACTCTTTTACAACACTGAGCCAGTGTCCTCACCTCACTTTCCTCTTCTTTCTAACCTTGTGAGGACTCTCTCTCTCTCTCTCTCTCTCTCTCTCTCTGTGTGTCTGAAACAGATTGTGTATAAAAGGCACAAACACAACCAAGTGTGCAGCAGAGAGCAGGCTGTGGTGACATCTGTGTGTGTGTGTGTGTGTGTGTGCGGTGACATAAGGTCGGCTGCTCCTCCACTGTCAGAGTCTCTCCTCCCTGCTTCCCCTCCTCTCCCTCTCTATACACGTGCACAGTTCAGTCTTCTAAGCTCTTGTTCAACCAAAACATTTTCATTTTGCTAACATGAAATAAAAGAATTAGTAAGCTGCAATTTTATTTAATTTTAACAACAAAATCTAACCTGCAAGCGCTCTGAAAACTCGGTTTCTCAGAAATGTCAAATTACATCAGTGGATTTTTTTGCAGAAATGTAGCGTACATTCCTTTTTAGCATGATATGGTACATATACATAATTAAATAAATATTTTAAATGCAGGCAATAAAATGGCTAGTGCAATCAATATTTAGTGAAAATAGAAAATAAGTGACTTGTTCCTCAAGACTGGCGTCAGTTTGTTACACAGTGGGAAGCACCTCGGAGGCATTTTGTGAAGCTAAAAGCAAGGGTAGGAGATAAATAACAGAAACGTCAGAGTAAGGAGGGGGTTGACACCAGTGTTTGTTTCCCGTGTAAAACAAAAAGACAACATTGTTTTTAGGTAAGTCACATAAGTAACAGTTATTTTAACCCAAACCACAATCTTTTCCCAACATCACCAAGTAGTTTTGATGCCTGAATATAACCAAACTGCGACGTTTCACAACGTTAACCACTAGTTTTATTTTGAAAGTCTCACTGGACGTTGATCGCTGCTTTCTTGACCACGGAGCGCTACATGCGCAGAAGAGATGCTAGTGGTACCAAGGGGTCGGCCAAGTTCCCGTATGTGACGAGTTGGTACTGAGAGGGGTTCCCCTCTCGGACGGCGGTACGCATGGCAGCCCCGCATCGGGCTGGACTGCAACTTTAAAGGTCATTTTATTTGTTGAGAATTACCAACATTACGGTTCAGTATGGTCTAAGTTTGCCAGTTAGGCAACTTGTTGGGAAGATAAGCCCCCTCCTCTGACCAGACCCCCGACTCAGTTTATTGTCTCTTCGGACAAAAGGAGGCGGGCGGGGAACAAACAGCCTTTTTGTCCTCGTCATAAAGAAACAGACAGAGAGAGGGGAAGGGGGCTGACAGATACCCGATCTCTAATTATGTAGAGAAATTCACTGACAGAAAGGAAACAAGAGTCATAGAGCCTCAGGGGGAAACCATGTATTAGACTTTAGAGTGATATTCTATATTTTCCCAGCGACTATTTGGGGCAGCCGGACGGTGTGTATGAGTCTGATTCAAAACAACAGTGTGTGTGTTCATGGTAATGAAAGAACATGTCACCCAGTGCTACTACTCTTACACAAATATTCTCAAAACCTCATAACAAGCAAACACAATGAAAAGAGCTTTATGGCGTGCAACTGCTCCAAGTCTAACATATCACATACCAGAGGAAGAATTTAGTTCCTGGGACCAAAAGAAGTCACTGCTCCAGGAGCAGTAGATACAAACAAGAACAGGATGAGTTGCTTTCTGCCGCCACTGTTTTCAATCCTTCGTTTCTCTCATGACCCAATGTGAAGGAAAGACAGTTAAACAGTAATTATCTAATTATTTTCAACCAGTGCATCAGTTGTCTAATAGCGGTAGAATTACAGTGGTGTAGTCTACGTGATACGCAGGTATAGGGCCTACGCCGTATGCCCACTAGGAACCGTCAAGGATTTCCGTATACAAACTTAAAATAGCGAGATGATCCGTAACAACATCGTTCTGTGACAGAACTTTCACACGTTCATTCATAAATGCACCCCGAAGCTCTGAACTGACGTTTGCTGCTTCCGAGGCCTGCGACCGGGATCTGACATCAGCTACCAAACAAGACCACAGCTGCGCGGCGGTCCCTCTGCGCACGTTTGAAATGAACTAATGTGAATCACTGAAGGAAACGTGTGAAACGCGAGCAAAGTCAAACTACACTCTTTTAGTGTTTTGGTAAGCCTGCAGCTGAACACCGCGGCTAAGTTAGTGAAACACAGAAAAGGAGCCACATGAGGCCGATGCTTTCTTAACGTTACCTGGTGATAGGGTTAGGGTTTTCATTAACGGAACTGTAACAGCATTGTTGGTCTAAACTAGTTAACTAACGTTAATGTGGTGGATCAGTGAATGCGGGACACGGTGTGCCTGCAGTAGTAGCAGTTCCTGGTAAGTGAGCCTGAGAGGATGTGGAGCCCTTTAGGTGTCCTCAGTGCTGATATTCTGTAATGAATGAGTTTTGGTGATAGAACTGCACATAGGCCTGTGTTCATTGTTATAACTGCTACTGAAAAGACTCAGCTTTCCATCATTGTTAATAATAGTTGCAACTTGCACTGTGAAATGTGCATTGAAAATTGCCAGCTGATAAAACCAGATTCATATAACATCTAAGGCTAAATGTAGCTCTTAACTGGCTGAGTTAGATTAACACTAAACATTAGACATTTCCACCATAAATTGGTGCAGAAAATTAAATGTTTAATGCTCAAAATCTTCTTGGAGAGGACCCCCGGACCCCCCAATCGTGTACTCAATGATTATTTCCATAAAATATCTTGTAGTCTTGATCTCGTGACCCCAATATTCTGGATTGTCACATCTCAGATGCTAAGTGTTTTGTCACAACTCTAATCTGAGCCCTAAAGTGTCCCCACCACGTTTGAACACAAAGTGACGCTCTTGCCCACCTATAACTGTCATTGGCTGTTAAAGTCTTTACATTGTTGATAACATGCAGCCTAAACAGTCCTTCAGAACGCTCTCTATTACATGAAGATTCTCCAAAGAGAGTCTCCAAAAGTAGACTAGGAGCCAGAGCGTTCAGCTATCAAGCTCCTCTCCTGTGGAACCAGGTTCCAGTTTGGGTTCAGGAGGCAGACACCATCTCCACATTTAAGAGTAGGCTTAAGACTTTCCTCTTTGATAAAGCTTATAGTTAGGGCTGGCTCAGGTAGTCCTGAACCATCCCTTAGTTATGCTGCTATAGGCCTAGACTGCCGGGGGATTTCCCATGATGCACTGAGCTCCTCTCTCCTCTACTTTCTCTCCCTCTGTATGCAACCTCATCCCATTATTGCATGTTACTAACACAACTTCTCCCCTTTCTGGTAGTCTTGTGCTTTCTCGTCCCTCTCCTCTCTCCTGTCACTTCCTGCAGGTGTTTCTGGCTCTGGAGCTGTGGAGTCTGGATCTGTGGTTGCGGGTCACCTGCTGCCCCCGTGTTCCTGCTCGACACCCTCTGCTGCAACGACTATTGTTACTAGTCCTATTGTTATTATTATAATCATTAACATTACGATTGTTACCATTAACACTGCTATAAATATCTGTACAATTTTTCATTTAGTCTCTCCCTCTTTCTCTCCCTCTCTCTCTCTCTGAGAGAGAGGTCACGCTGGGACGGGCGGTACGAGGCTGGGAGGGAAAAATCACAGTATACTCACTAGAAAAAACTAGACTACACCACTGGGTATAAATAATTTGTCAGGAGTGCTACAGTGTAAGTATTGTGCAAACCAAAAATCAGGAAGAAGTTAATAGAGTCTGGAAGTGGAAAAAGGAAACAACCTCACCTTAACTGGTGAGCCTCAGTTCCTTCTGTGTGTTTCCTCCTCTGTGGGCTTAAATTAACAGAATACAAAGAGCATTTAAGGACATTTGAGTTTTATTTTAAATGTTTTCATGCCTTTCATGTCGACTTGACTTGGTCTGAATATGGATATGAGTATTTAAAACTGTCTAGAGCTTCTGATATTTTCAACCTAAATGTGCCAAATATAAATAAATAATTTCTTTTTTACTATTGTGTTTAGATGCTCACGTCTGTTGCACGACCAATAGGTTAGTGCAAAAAAAGGCTAACAGAGCTAGAGACAAAATGAGAAAGTTTGTTTAGACAAATTACACAACTGAATCTCCACTATAACTGTTGACTAACATGCGGATGTAAAATAAAGTAGAGGCAACCAGAGGCTGATCATCACAGTTCTATTGGTTCATTCTTAAAAATTAATGAGGCAATGATGTGTTGATTTTCAAAAACACCTTTAATGGAGCACACAGGCTGACTGTGCAGGGCATAAACACACTCATCACCACTTTATAAATCACAATAATTATAGATGCCCTGGGGAAGTTCTTAGTGCAGGCCAATGAGTTGTTAACTTACTGGATTTATTTGTCATTTCAAAAACACTATGAGGTGTTGTGACCTTAAAATACCAGCCAAAAACTTTATATTTTACTTTCTAAAACTTTATTCCCCATTTTTATTTTTTATAAAAAAAGAAAACACAACAGGACAAAAAACTGCAGTCTAACATTTTAAAAGTTTCGATTTATAAAAAGCAAATCAGACAGAAATGACTTAATAATTCCAAGCTCTGTGATTATGTCAAATTTGGTTTCAGGCTGAACAGGACTTTGAAATTTCTAAAAGGTGTCAGAGGAGCCTCTTTATTGCACAGATCTTAATCTCATGACCCAAATGCGTCCACGTTCTCTGTTCTCTGGAGATTTGAATGTTAAACTAACTAAGCTGGAAGTGGCGTCACGAGGCAGCAGAGTGCGGTGAATTATACGGACTGAAAGGAGAAAGTGTTTGGGATAAGCAGAGAGGATCACAGACACTGAGGGAAGAGGACGCCCACTTAAAGCCAGAGAGTGGAGGAGCATGTGTGAGTTTTTGGGGCAAACCTTGACTAATTAGTAAAAACGTGGGATACCACAAACATAACAACAGATTTAACCAATTTTTATAGTTTAATCCTAAGAACACACACCAGCGATGCAGGACCACAGACTGAACAATTCCACGGACTTAAGATCTTACAGAAACTCGCATGATCAAACGTGACTTCAGGGAAAATAGACATGGAGGTGGATTGTGGTTGTCAGCTGGTTGCACTTGTGTGCATAGGTGTCCTTTACGCTGGGGACGCTGGGGACATGTCCCCACCACTTTCTGAAATGGCTGACTTTGTCCCCAAAATGCCTTCAGAAAGGTTTATTTGCACATTAAGAAAACAGTCAATGCAACTAAAATATAGAAGAAACAAAAGTGCATGTCCAAAAAAAGTAACTAAAGCTATAAAAAACCAAGCTGCTGATTATAAAATGACCCAAAAACGTGCAGCAGCAGTCAGTAACTTTAACAACTTCCTCTCACAGTGTCTTTTTAGCCAAGTTTTCCGTTCTCTCCCTGTGAACATGACAAAAGACTAAATCAGATATTACAGGAGAAACAGATCTGAGAGCAGCACAGAATGACTGAGAGCTGCTCTCACTTACGTTCTGTTTTATTTTTAGATTTTGAAATGTAACGAGCTGCCTGAATTTTGTGTTTCCTTTCACATAAATGAACATTTCCACCATAAATTGTTGCAGAAACTTTCACCAGAACGCAGGAAATGATGTGTTTAAAGATCAAAATTTCCTGGGGGAGGACCCCCCAGCCCCCCCGCTCATATATCTGATATCTTTAAAACACTGTTTAAGGATGTTTTAGTCTCATTCTCGTGAACCTAATATTGCGTATCGTGATGTCTCGTGAGCTAAGTGTCCCTTCACACCCCTAATCTGAGCCCCTATGTCCCCACCACTTATTAACCTTGCTTGTGTGTGTGCGCTTTGCATGTTTTGCTCAGAAAAACTAAAGTAAACTAAAAGGATAAAAAAGGGCTGGCGTCAACTAAAACAGCTGAAAGATGGGGGACAGGTGCCTTCTTTCTGTTTGACTAGTCAGTAATAACTTATTAGCTGCTTGCTGTGTCTTGTGTTGGTGCGCTTGCTTGATGTTTGGCTGTCAGCAAAGTTGTTGACTCGAGCAAAAGAAGTTTCACAGACAACTTACTAGATTACACACTCAGATATCGGTAACATTACTGTAACTGCTCCTGCGTCGGTTGCTGTCTAGCAAGTCAGGCAACATAACTGGGCTCAGCAGACTCTAGGGACGTAACAGCTAACAGCAGAGACCACACGATAACAAGCAAAAATGAATTGTTGTCATTTGAGTATGCTTTAAAAAGTAGTTTAAATGCACTACTTAGGCGCAGCCGAGTCGCTCTGCTTTTGATATAATCTTAATCCATTTACAGTCAGAAGAGAAGCACCTCATCTCCTCCACGTAATGTCAGGAAACCTTCAAGGAGCTTTCAGAAAAACCAAAATCAGCAAGTACATTTGTTTTGAAATAATTCTAATGTGTAAATGAAATATTTCCTCGCAGAATTTTACAGGGCAACCCCAGAAAAGGTAAGTCAGGCCCCCTGGGCCTGATTTCCATTTGTCATGAATAGCTGAAAACGAACAGGGCAGCAATCTGTTTCTGCTTTAACAACTCCTGCCTGCAATATTATAAACCGCTCCACTCACAAAAGTCTTGATTATGCCCATAGCTTGTTGCTAAATTTGATGCCAAATACTTTGTATTCCTATAGCTGCTTCGCAATAAAAGCTTCCCAGTGGTACGACAGTATAAAAGATTTTTATTTGAAGAGTCATTGGTAACTTAGCACAGCTCCAGTACGGATGAAGGAGAGTTCAACAGTTATGAGGCTGCTTTGTAATAACACTCTTTACCTGACACATAAAATGGTGTATAAAAAGGGCGAGGGTTCCTACACACCGTTCACTACACATGGATGCATAAAAAGCCGTTATCATACCTAAACATTATATTTCTATTAAACATACCAGCTAATGCAGATTCACTATGAAAGGTGTTATTCATCTATGTTTTTAAAGTACTTTTGCAAGGATTAATGTTGCCTGTGTGAAATTACTGACTGCGAGGGACAAATTAAAACAGAGGTTGTTGGTAAAAGCAATGGAGAGAAAAACTGTATTTTTCACTAAAAGAGAAATAACTTTAATCAGTTTTCTTTTATGTGAAACAAACAGCCCAGGAGGAAAATCTGTTCTGCTGGTGCAGAGGCACAAAACCAGAACTCTGATTTTAGTTTAGACCAAACAGGAAGTCACGTTTGTACTGGTTTGGTTGGATGGAGCCTTTTGCTGACATTTTACAGTAGAAACCAGACTGAAGAACGGGCTTACGGCTGCAACCATTTGGCCCTGCTGCACACCAGAAACCAAGCTAAACTTTAGCCTTAGAGAACCTACTGCAACAGTTTCTTGACGTCACAGTGGAACCAGTTTAGACCTATTGGGCCCAATTAGAGCCATGGCGGGCCTGCTTAACCTCATACCACAGACTCTGTAGTGGAAACCAAGACCCCATCCACACTACTCAGTTTTTATTTCAAAATAAGAGTTTTAAAGCTAATCCGATCTGCGTCCACAGCAGCGTTCTTAGCTGCGTATCAGAGTTGATCTCCGACTGAAAACGCACATCTAGTGGCCGTTCAGGTACACTGGGCGTGCGCGTGCCGGTGTAAACAGGAAGCAGATGGTCTGTTCCGTAGTTACAGAAGGTTTGGCAAAAGAATAAAGTAACGCAGAGGAAGAACCACCAAGAACCAACAGATTTTATTTAGCATGGACCAATGACGAGCTGGGACTGTTACTGAATGGAACACGGGAGTTAATGGCAGCCGTGGCGGCGACAGACTGGGAGTCTGTGCAAAGTAAATACGGCGACACGCACAGTACAAGTGTCGGCTGTAAGTCTCTGTCAGCAGCATCTTGTTTCTGCTTTGCATGACCTATGAGACCCAATCAGAGAGCCGAGCTTGAGCTTCTGCGTCATGGTTTCTAAAGTCCTCCGTTTTTGCCCGTGTTCACTAAAACGCTCTCTGGAGTTTTAAAACTAAAAACACGGTCGGCAGCGTTTTCAAACTTCTCCGTTTTAGTCTGGACGGGAGGAGCAAACGTAGCAAAAGGTCTCTGTTTTAAAACCAAAACGCAGCACCGAGATAGCCCTGTTTCACCTCAACTGCTGCCAACACTGGCCCTGTAACAAAACCAGGCCAGCCCTTCAAAAAAAAAAAATCAGGCTGGCCTTGGCGATATCACACTTCTATTCTTGCACACTAGAAACTAGACTAACCCAGCCTTCATTGGCTCTTTAGGTGAAGCAGGCTAGTGCTGTTTAGACCTCTTTGGCGCTTTAGCAAAGCAGGGCAGCTGCGTCATTAATTTCAGCGAGACACTGAGTTGCTGTCCTGATACAGAAGACTCACTCACATTGTTGTCACCACGATAACTCTGCAGAGTCTCATGGTATTATAAACCACTGTGCAGTGTTTGTGTCTGATAAACCTTCAGACTCTTTCTATTAATTTAATCTTGTTTCAGTGTCCTGACGCCCAAACCATGGCACAGCTCTTTTCACCCTGAACATGGCAGTAAACCTTTCATCCTTGACCCTGCGGTGGAAGCAGGCTAACTCCAAGAGTTTCTGTGCAGAGGGCTGGTGTGTTGCAGGTAACAGCAGCCATAAAGCTGAAGGAAGCAGGCTATTTAATGGTGTAATAACATTATGTGTTGTTATGACCGTCAGAGGGGACATTAGCCTGCAGATGTTGGCTAGCAAAGAGTCAGCGCTGACTGCCGTCACGGGGAGGGTGGAGCCGTGGGACATAATGAAGGTAATCTGAGTCATAATGAAGCCCAGCAGCCTCAGCAACACTAATAAAACACATTAGCGCCTTTCAAAACACTCATATCAACTCAGAAGCTGCTCTGTTTTCTCTTTAACTCATCCCCTTCAGTGCTTTTCATTTTCTTTTCTCGTCTCTGTTGCAGCACACTCAGCTCTTCATCTCTCAGTCTTCCTCTCAAAACTGTACAATTTATTCACGGGTTTTTCAAACAGGTTAGTTTCCGGGCTCATTATTACCGCAGCTGTCCGAGGATTCATCGATTGGTCGACAGCCAGCATGGACTCCCGTGTGCTGTCATTAATCTGCATGAAAAGTTCAACAGCAGTTTTTATAGACGTTTCTCACCAAAAAAGATGATACCTTCGGCTTCTGGATCTCCTGGTGGGTGTTTTTTTTAAATGTTTACTGGACTGACTTAATTGAGAAAATTACTGGCATATTAATCAGTAGTGAAAATCCTCACTACTTGCAGCCCTGCAGCTGCAAGTCAAAGGACACATAACATTCAAAACAATAAGCTCGTCATTGTAGTTTCAGGTGGAAATGGGGCCAAACGGGTCTCCTGGTGTCAGGTGACACTAAACATCCACCACAGCTCAGGTCACTGTTCACCTCGCAGGCTATAGTGAAACTGTAGCCACAGTCATGTGATGCGTGACCCAGTTACAGTGTAAAAGCTGCAGGATGTTTCACCCGAGCTCAGCGACGCCACTCAGGTTTCAGTGAACCTGTAACCCTCCGCTCATACAGAACGTGAGCTGTGCACACAGCGGTCACTGTATGAGAGGAACCTGCCGCCACCAGGGCCGGACCAACTCTCAAGATGTCCCCACTACTCAGACACACGCGTCAGTGTTCCTATGCCAGGGGGGATGTGTGGCCTTTCCCCCTTTTCTATATACCCCTGCCTCTGCTGAATAGTTTTTACCCCCCCCCAAAGTGATCAATTCTACTTAACTAGGGGTGTAACAATCTCAAAAGTCAGAGTTCGGATCGATCAGGGACTACTTTGGCCCTGAAGTCTTGCTCAATGTCCCGCCCACTGCATCTGTTGTTTGTCGAAGGGAAGGCAGCAGATATTACTGAAGCAGGAGTAAACATCACAATCTTATGACCCGTTTCTATGATGCCAAGGAGCCCAGTGTCCACTGAACATGCCACAAATTGCTCCCTGCCTCCAACACATCACCCAGAGCCCAAGAAACCAAACAGTGCATCTGCATACGGAGTACGACCTGCCCCAGGTTTGCTGTATGTTGGTTAGTTTGTGGTTGTTTGAGTTGTTGCACTTCCTCTAATGCTGTACACCGCTATAACAACACTCTTGTAGAAAAATAAATAAGTAAGTATAATTTGAGGATTTGAACAACAACATTGCGTTAATATGATTTATTGAAAATGTCCCTTCTTGGTAGCTTCTTTGCTCTGTATTAGACAGACAAAATAAAATATTTACAGCAAGTGAACACATCAGCCATTTGAAGTTATAACATATTAGAAGACCTTTGTCTTGCTTTGAGCTCTGCTGGGAAACCACAATGTCCAAGCAAATTCCAGCCTGAGAAATATCAGAAAACATTGGAAAATGATCTGGCTTTGTCCAACGAACAGCCAAAAACCCAAAGATATTACATAAACAGAGAAAAACAGTAAATCCTTAGTGTTATCAGATTTGCTGTTAATTCACTTTCTGTCGATTGACTGATTGGTTGAATTAACTGGACCAAATTCAAGTCAGAGTCGTTCACAGTTCTGAAAATCTGCATTTCAGATTCAAATATCTGCATTACAAGCAACAGATTTTTTTAACTGATGAAGAGTGTGTAAGACAAAGCACTACACACAGTGTTCAGTGCAAACCACAGTGTTCACCAGACACCACGACCCGAGACAGACAGGAGCACAGCGACATGGGTCATTGTTGCTTCAGTTCAGGTGTGGCAGAGGATCAGTCCGCTGTCAGACAGCCAGAACAGGTCTAAGTGGGTGGAGACACATTCCTACAGCACACCAGTGCAGTGGTGTGTTACACTGAGCGCCAAGTCTGAAGAAACGTAAATACGAGTCAATGCAACCAAACAGCATCTGCTGAGAGTGACAGGAGAGAGCGTGGGAGTGTGTTTTTGTGTTTGGATAAAGATAATGACCTGTAACATAATACTGTACATCACATGACCTGTGGGAGTAAATTACTCATGGAAATTCACTGCAACTTCCTGAAGCCACGTAATGTTTGGATCTAAAGACGGTCAGAGTTTCAGTCCAAGGTGAAGTCGTCAAATGTTGTTTTGTCCGGCCAACAGTTCAAAACCCAAAGATATTCCGTTTACAGTGATCTTTGGAAACTATAATCTGAAATTTTAGGGGCATTTTTGCTGTATAAATGACTAAAAGATGAGTCAGTTACTAGAAATGTGCAGTCCAAACTGGTTTCTGTCTCCTGTGAGATTAATAAAGGCAACTTGGAAATGTTTTGGTTCTCACCTGAAAAGCTTCTTGAGAACCAAAAGCGGTGGCGACATAAGGGCTCAGATTAGGAGCATGATAATACATTTGGGTCACAAGACGTGACGACGTACGAGAAGATTGTGAGCATTATTCTCATCATTCTGGAGACAAATTATGGTGGGAATGTCTTTTTATATGAAGAGAAACTATATTTAAAGTGCATTGCTTGTTTTCTTATTTCAAAGCATTTTCCTTTGTTAGATAATATTTCAAAGGGGACATGTCCCCAGTGTGACTCACACCTATGTTGAGAACTGATGACGAATTGTTTCAGCACTTCTGCATGTGATGTTTACCATATGTTTATATGTTTTACAGCTTCATTTTGTATTGTCATATATTTCTGTCCTTGTTACTGGATACAGTCCTGCAGCATTAATTTACCTCTAGTTGTTAAACAGGTGAGCACTAAAGACAGAAATCCCTGCCAGTGACTTTAGCTGCGTTCACTCTGCAAGCTTTAATGCTCAATTCCAGATCTGATTTTTTTGATTCACTGTTCACATTATTGTTTAAATGTGGCCCACATCAGACTCCAGTGTGAACTGGCCACGGCCTGAAAGTGACGCGCATGCGCAGAAGAATAATACGACATCATATGCAGCACGCCGTCATAATAAAGTATCCAAGGAGGCCACAGAGGTTAGCATACACTTGCTAATCCTCACTTTCATTGCGCTCTCCCAGTTTCCTCCCGATTTATGGTGAATGTTCACAACTTTGTTTCATCAATACATACATTCTCTCTCTCTCTCTCTCTCTCCATGCAGGCTCATCTACATAGGTGTCATTTACTCTGGGGACGTGTCCCCACCGCTTTGAGATGGCTCAACTTGTCCCCATCACTTTTTAACAAGCATTTCTTAAGTTCTCTGAAAAATAGCTTGCAACAAGAAATGTTAACCAACAAATAAAATTGCTTTGAGAAAGATTTATTTGCACGATAAGAAAACATGCAATACAATTTAAATCTGACCAAGAAAGTAATTTAAGCAAGAAGAAAAAAAAGCTACTGATTATTGCTGCATTATATTCCACTTTATTTTTATATTTTGAATTGTCACCTGCCACCTCGATTGTGTGTTTCCCTTCCTATAAAGAAAGACATTCGCAGAATGTCAGAAAATGTCTCCAGAATGCAGTAGATTTAGAGTTCAAAGGCCAAAGTCTTCTGGGGGAGGACCTCCAGACCCCCCATTCATATTTTTAAATTTGCATTTTTGTTAAAATATCTTCTTGCCTTGTTCTCGTGACCAAAGTCTTTCCTCACACCCCTAATCTTAGAGCTTTCCTCCCCACCACGCCCTTGCTCATCAACCACTTAGAATCCTGTAAAAAGCACGATAAAAACAAACAGACTTCACAGTTCAGAGATATTTATTCTAATTCACCTCCTGAGGAACGCTCAGCTGAAGAAACCAGCTACCTCGACTGCCTCAATTACATTTATTATTTTATTTGAATTGACTTCTCCTCCAGTATCTGCACCAGACCAGCAAGGTGATGCCTGTCACTGTAACCATGGCAACAGAGGGACACATGCACGACAAACACAGGCGCGCACACCTCTGTTAAAGTCCTATCCCCAGGGCATCCGGTCCTGACAGCCCTCAGTGAATTACTCTGGGTCTCCCGCACACGTGCACATACACACGCACACGCACACGTAAACACTCGCGTGCGGCGAAACCAGTTCCTGAACTGCACAGAGTGTAAATGAGCACCCTCTCAGTCTCACGTTAGACTGCGTGTTTCCTGAAAAGAGCATGCGCTAAAAATAACTAAAAACAGACTGGGAGTTTCATGCAAACAGCTCAAATAACAAACACTGAACAGCAAAGTCAGAGCGAGTTGACGTTAAAGAGACGCGGAACGTGACCTAATTAACGTCTGTGTGGTGATTGACGTACCGGCTGCTGGAGGAGCTCATTTCAGGAAGCGTGGAAACAAAGTTGAACACGTCCAACTTGGTGGGGAAACAACTGTCGAAACACTCAGAAGCCCTTCCGGTGATCCAGGTGAGGTGATCATCTGCTCAGGTGAATCATCTTCAGTCTGCAGCAAAAAACAATCCACACGACTGAAGAGCAGCGGGAAACCCGAGTCTACCTGCTGCAGGTAGTTGACAAGCCACGCCCCCTCCGAACCTGTCCCCTCTCTCTCACACACCTGCATCTGCTCACCTGCATCACGCCTCACTGGCTCGGCGCTTTCACCTGCGTCCCATTTTTTTTTAAACCTCTCAGATGTGTCTTTGTTCATCTCCTTACAAAGAATTAAGAAGACTTTCACGTCCTTAAAATAACTTTAATTTCACTTGCTTAGGTATTATTGTTATGTCTTGAATGATCACTCTGTTGTCCACAAGCAGTGGTTACAGACAAATAGAATTAGAGCTGATTTTAGAATGGGACGCGGCCCTGCTGGCCTACTTTACAATGGTCATCAAACCATAAACACATAAAACTCCACCATCCATCTCACAACTGTAAACATGCAGGTTAATTTTTAATTTGAAAAACACTGATCAAACATCACGTCCAACTTACTATACCGTATTTATGATAACAGCAGTTACAAGGTGCTTAATAATCAGGATGTATTCAAGGACCACATTTAATAAAAGGCCTTTTTAAAGGAAGGTTTTGAGGAGCCATTTAAAAGGTGTCAATATAACAAGCATCAGGTCCTCAAAGAGCTGAGGGGCCCTGATAACTCTGGATATTGGAACAGCTAGAATAGTCTTTTTATTTAGGAATTTGTATATAATAGCAATCACATTTAAATGTAATGAGTCTAAAGATACTGGATTCAGCCTTAAAAAGAGTTTTTAACTGTAGAAAAAAAGAAATATGATAAAAACCCTGAAAAGCAGCTAAATTGGGGTGGTGATGGTGCAGTGGATAAGACACATGCCTTTGGTGTGAAAGACCCAGGTTCAACTCCTCACTGTGACGCGTCCATCAATGTGTCCCTGAGCAAGATTCTTAACCCCTAGTTACTCCAGGGGTGCGGGACCTCTGACACAAATAGCAATTATAAGTCGCTTTGGATAAAAGCTAAATGAATAAATGTAAACTGAATCCAGTCATCATTAGCTTTAATATCCACATTTTCTTACTGTGACATATGAAAATACTTACTCCCAGGTCGTCATGTTTGGATGGTCAAGACGCCTTGGTGTCAGTTTTTATAAATGGGGAATCTATTCATATATTAATATATATTAAGCTAAATAACATGAAAGTCAGCGTAAGGAGGTTGTTGGATGCGAAATACCAGACTTTCTCCCTGGAGAAGCAGAGAAGCTTCTTAACTCATGTTAACTGACATCCTTATTTTAACCTGAACCAGGATCTTTTCCTAAACCACTTCACAACGTTAACAACTAGTTTTATTTTAAGTCTAGCTGTACGTGCGTTAAAAAGCACGGGCAAGTTGGGATGAGAACGGGTTTAACAATTTGTGTAACAAGCTGAGCAGCTGTGTTTCATAAGATTGTCTTTTGGTTCGACCATGAGTACAAAGAACTGCACTAACCTAGATGTGATCATTTACCAGCGGGTCTAACCTTCTTATGACCAGCGTGAGAAAGGAAACATGGATCAACAACTCGTATGACTTGTTTGTCGAAGAAGAGGTCGCTGTTAGAAAATATAGCTGAGATTCTGGCAGCAGGTTTATTAATTATTAATACAAACAGATATAAGATCGCTGGCTCCAACAGCTGGAACAAGTCGTTTTGGCTCTCTTCTCTCGGTTCACATTTCAAAATAGTAAACCTAATACTTCCAGCTGCTGTGGTGTCATTGTGTAACAGATACATCCTGGAAAGGTGCAGCGAGTGATCCAAATGTAAACACAAGGGCGTCTTTCTTCAAAACACAGGACTGAAATGAGCCGGCACTCCCCAGATGATCTGCACATCTTAAAGTGATAGATTTCTAATTTACGATGCTATCTGATGTTGACATTATGAGTTTTACTTATTTGCACAAATTAAAATAAAATAAATGGCATTCAATTACAGATAGAGAGATAGAGTTGCATTCTGGGAAATCCAAAGATCCAGTGTATTTGTTGCTTGACCCACACACGGGAAAAGGATAGCTGAGCCTCTGCTGCACTGACTCTGGCCATGTTTTAAATGTCTGTCTCTTGCAGTACCCTTTTAAAAGATGATTCCAGTTTAGCAGAACTTAATAACATATTGTTCACATTTTCACTAGAAGTCAGCCTGCCATATTTGATATCTTTGGAGACTGTGGGATCTCCACTGGGATTTCAAATTAAAGTAATTTGAGTTTGCACAAAGTTGCATATCTTCCTTAACTTATAACGCTTAAATTCAAACACAAAACCTTTGAACCACTGTGCTCAACTAGAAGTTCAGCACACTATCCATTTGTGCTCCGGAGCATGTTTAATTTATATTTTTAAACTATTACTCCTACACTGAGTACCTCGATCTCTGTTTGACTCAAATGTAGTGAGCCAGTGCTAAGCCCACATATAAAGATTACAGACTCTATCCAGAGTTCTTTATCAGATCGACTTGAACCCACAACCTTTGAATCACTTCTTCTGTTCACAACGCGCTGTCCATTGCGTCACAGAGCCTCATGTGTTCACTACAGCTGAATAAATCATTTGTATAAATCACCTGTTTTCTACAGCCAGAGTGATAAGCTTTATTTCCTACAAATTCTGCATTTGGAAACTTTACCATCTCTATTTTATGTTTTTATACAGCACAAAAACACTTTAACAGGGAAAAGAAGACGAAAGAAACCTCAGGAGGGATCCAGCCAGTGTGTCGTGTGTACGGAATAGACCTGTAAAATTATAGATTTATTGTAAACATATATGAAGAATATGGATGAGGGAGGACGTACCTGAGCATCACAACTTCCTCTCTGGCTACGTCCACACCGGTGTTTTAGCTGCGTATGAGAATTCAGCTCCATGTATATTAAAACAACTGAAAACGCACATCACGTGACCGTTCACGTACACGGAAGTAATATAATAAAAATACCAAAACAAAAACACTGTCAGTAGCATAGTGTTTGAGAAGACTCAATCAGGAAGCCAAACGTGAGCGTCTGCATCATCGATTTTAAAGTCCTTCGCTACTAAAACGCTGCGCTGGAGTTTTAAAACGAAAACAGGTCAGCAACATTTTCAAACTTCTCCGTTTTAGGTCTTCAGATTTGACATGTTAGTCTGAACGGGAGGTGCAAACGCAGCAAAAGGTCTGCGTTTCAAAAAGCAAACGTAGTAGTGATGGAGCCGGAGACCTGAAGGGAGCACAGATACACACAAGAGGCAAATTCAACCCGGGCAATCACACAGGTAGGAGAACGAAGCAAGCGGGAAGGGGAGGGAGAGAACAACCACAACATGTAGATAAAGAAGGTCTCATTTTACTTATCTTACATAAATACGCTAATGAGCCATAACATTACGACCACCTGGCTTGTATTGTGTACGTCCCCCTTCGCCCCCAAAGCAGCCCCGTCAAGTCCAAGCATGGACATCACATCATCCTGCTGAAGGGCCATCAGGGAATGCCGTTTCCATGAAAGGGTGTACATGGACTGCAAGAAACGCACAGGGGTCCGCGTGGGCACCCTGACTGGTCTGCAGCTCCCCATCCTCAGAACAAGCATCAACTTTTTCAGCAGTTTGACCTCCAGTAGCTCGACTGTTGGATCGGACCACACGGGCCGGACTTTGCTCCCCACGCGCATCAATGAGTCCACTTCTGAGAGGTACTGACCTTTTTTACAGACCGTTCTAGAGATGCTCTGACCCAGGCGTCCAGCCATCACAGTTTGGTCCTCGTCAAAGTTACTCAAATCCTCACGTTGCCCATTTTTCCTGCTTCTAACCCATCAACTATGAGGACTCAATGCTCACCTGCTGCCTGATAGATCTCACCGCTTACAGGAGCCATGATAATGATCTGTGTTGTTCACTTTAACAACTATTCCTTTATACTTTTATACTTCGATGTGCAATGCAAGCAACGCTGACTCAAGAATTTCCTCTCGGGTATTAAAAAAGTCTTTCTGATTCTAAACAATGGACATTAGCCAGAAAGGCAGTGACATACAGTATATTTAAGCAATATCTGACGACAGGCCGTGATATACGCTTATTATATCACAGTTAAGGGGCGTTGTTCGGCCGGCAACCCCCTCAACTGTGATATAATAAGCGTATATCACGGCCTGAAGTGAGCTGTTGTTTTTATTACATGGTTACCAAGTACGGCAAAAAGAAAGTAGGCTAACAGAAGCACTACAATTTGACTTTATTTCACCATCAGACATTTCTTTGTAGAAGTTTTTCCTTGCCTCTGTCTCCTAGTGCTGCTCTTGGTGGGAACTGTTGGGCTTCTGTAAATAGCATCACAGAGTTCGGTCTAGACCTGCGCTTTATGAGGCGCTGTGAGATAACTGTTGTTGTGATTTGGCGCTGTATAAATAAAATTGAATTGAATTGAATTGAGTCCCATCAGGCTGCCGGTAGGTTACATAGCGCGTGACGGTTGCTAAGCAACATACATCAAAGAATTATTAATTATTAGATTAGATGCAGCCACTAAAAACTGTCCAGCGTCAGGAGATTGACTTCGGTAACTTGAACTTATATGATAATATGCTTGATACTGGTCAGCTGGGATTGGCTCCAGCCCCCCGCGACCCTGTACGCAGGATAAGCAGTTGACGATGGATGGATGGATAATTGAGGTATTAATACAGTAAAAATGGCTAACTTACAAGTAATTACACCAAACTATACTTTCGCAAGGAAATAATGCAGTTTTTCAGTACTGCTGTGGTTAGGTTACCGTGAAAACACAGTAAAATACCTGTAACTGTGATGATTATTACAACACATTGTTATTTTTACAGTACCATTGTATCTGGTTATTGTAGAAACACAATAGTACTGTGATTTTCACGTATATTACTGTAAAATAATTACTGTATACTACTGTGAATGTACTGCAATTATTAGCCAGTAATTTGCTGTTAAAAAGTACAACACTGTTTACAGTGCAGACACATGCAGACATAAATGAACACATTGGCACATAAAAAGACAAACAGCA